TGGTTTGTTAGCCACCCTGAGTCCCTCCGGGAATAGGGCGGCATACAAGTGTAATAAACCTTGAACCTTGAACCTAATGTATTTTCTTTGGATATTAGCATTTAGAAGAGTTCTGTCAATGCTTGCAGCTTGTTCAAAATGTGCAACTTAGCTATTTACTCATATAAAATTTATTTTGTATTACTATCAACACTTTGTACAGGCAACTGAATGATAGAAACCAAATTGAAGAATTATGCTGGAATGAAACAATAAAATGTTTTTTTTCTGTCCTTATGATTGCTTCTCATATCTTGATTCAACAATTCATTAATGAAATCTGCTTTGTAATCAAAAAATTCTTTGGGCATCTTTAAACATAAAGATAAAAAACAAAGACTAATATCTGGTGCAATATATTGTTACTGATGTTCACAGAACATACAAAATATATGTGGATACGAGAAGAACTATATTAATTAAAAAGTATTTGCAATAGTTACTTAATTACTTACCAATAGCATTATACAGAGGTTCTCCAGTTTCTTTGTCCCAAACTACAGTTGTCTCTCTCTGATTGCTAACTCCAACAGCTTTTAAGAACAAAACAAACATTCTATCATTTTCTAGATTATTACAGATTTTGGATCACCCAAAACCTGAGCAAAACTCTGCTTTTGGGTGAATTTCTTTCTGATTGCTCTTCTACCATAAGCCCTTTGTACTTATCACAAGCCACTTTTAAGAGTAAAAAGGTTGTCCAGATTGAAGTACAATGTGGCAGAGAGGACAGCATTGAGAGATAGGTATTAACAGAATTCAGCACACCTACCATATTTTTGGAGTATAAGACGCACTGGAATATAAGACACACCAAGGTTTTGAAGAGGCAATTTTTTTAAAAAAAGTAGGTAGGTAGATAAAAGGAGGGAGGGAGAGAGAGAGAGAGAGAGAGAGAGAGAAAGATAAATAGATAGAGAAATATAGTAGATAGGTAGTGAGAGAGAGTGTGTAGGTAGGGAGGTAGAGGGACAGAGAGAGAGAAATAGAAAGAGGGAGATATATATACAGTAGATAGGCAGAGGGAGAGAGAGTAGGTAGGTAGGTAGTGAGAGAGAGAGAATAGGTATGTAGGTAGAAGGATAGAGAGAGAGAAATAGAAAGAGAGAGAGAGATACAGTAGATAGGTAGGGAGAGAGAGGGGGTAGGTAGGTAGAGAGAGAGAGAGAGGGAGAGGGAGAAATACAGTAGGTAGGGAGGGAGAGGGAGAAATACAGTAGGTAGGTAGGGGGAGAGAGAGAGAGAGAGAGAGAGAAGGTAGGTAGGTAGGTAGGTAGGTAGGTAGGTAGGTAGGTAGGTAGG